AACAGGCTGGGGATTAACTTTGCCGGAAAAGGAACCAGGGTCCTGAGCTGGGTATCTTCCATCAGCATTTTGTGGCTTTATGGTGATGAAGACCAGCCCTGGGCTGAGGAATACATTCAATGCACGTAGCTCAGGGTGCAGCTGCAGTGAGAGCTGCAGATTGAGCTCTGGATGGGTGCCCGAGGCAAGAGGCCATGAACTGCCACCCCTTGGCACAGGAAAGGGCACAGGGACCTGTGGCACCAGCCTGGGGACTGGACACTGAGACACAGCAGGAGCTGAAGACTCAGCAGGAAGATCCCAGACTTTCTGGCTTACAAATTGTGGGGGTATAAAAGCCCAGATAATCCTTTGTTCAAGGTTTCTCCTCGAGGCACCAGCTCTCACTCTTACTCTGTTGCTGCACCAGGATTAAATTACTTGTGACCAGAGATTTGGCTGAGTCCCTCACGGGTGACAGGCAAGTGCCATTCCAAATGAATGAGCAATGACTGCCCTGCCCTCCACCAATCAGTCAGGTGTTGGGTTCAGATCCCTGCATCCAGACTGACAGAGATGGGTGTCATGGGACAGTCAGAGCAGTGGCACAACCCATCAGGAATTCTGAGGAGAGCTTGGACAGCACCCGGTGAGCTCTGACTGCCCATGGCCAGTTTGGGGAGGGAGTGTCAGTCTGTGCTGCCCTGTATCCCTGTCCACAGTAGGTCTCCATAGTGATCTACCCATCTCCTGACAGTTCTTTTTTGAGGCAATTCCTGCACAGACAAAACATGTCTCTGGAGAGTGCACAAAACACCATATGAAATAGTTCATCCTCTGCTGCTATTGTGTGCACGTGGAGTATCTTCACAATGGGGGATTCAGGGAGATCTGTATGTGGAGGAATGTTCATCTTCAATCTGTGTGTTATTGTAACTATTTGAATTGATTGTTGTGGTGTAAGCTTGAAACACTAAGAGCAGGTTTTCCAGAAGGTCTATGTCAGGTGAAAACACTGCTTTATTTTTTGTATATGCATGAGATTTCCTCTTGATTAGTACTTGCTTGTAACTGTGATAATTCTATATATATTTTAAAAGACCTTGTAAACAAGAAAATGCTTGCAAGTTCTGTTATGGTCTTCAGGATATAGAAGGTTAGACCCATTGAATCTACAGAGAATTTTGGCACTTAATGCACTTCAATGAAGGTATACAATTGCAGGGAAAAATGGTTCCTGTACAATATGTAGATGATCTGTCATTGGCTCATTGTGACAAGAGTGTTTATATATTTGATGGTATACTTCTATGTATTGTCAAAAGAGGGAACAGCCTGCATCTCCATCCAAACTTCAGCTGTGCCAGAGAAGAAGTTAAATATTTAGGCTTTGCTTTGGGAAGGGATGATGAATGATAGATCCAGAAAGCATAGAGGCCATAGTTAGGCTCCCACATCCAGTCGTGAAAAGAATGTACCAAGTTTGCTTAGAGCTGTGGGATTTTGTTGACCGTAGATTCCTGTGTTAGCATCTGAATGAGGAAACCAAGAACGAAAAGATAAAGTCTATTGCAAAGGGCCTGGAGAAGGAATAAGCTTACACAGTAATAAAAGGAGCTCTGGTGTCTGCTCCTGGTCTTGGGCTCCTAGGTTATACAAAACCCTTCGATCTGTGTGTACAGGAATGTAAAGGAATTGCCAGTGGAGTGGTGAAGCATAATTTAGGACCCCATCATAGACCATTTGCAAATTACTCAGTTAAATTAACTTCACTTGCAGCAGGAGCACAGGCCTGTCAGTGGCAATAGCAGCAAAAATATTAGAAATAAGTTGTCCCTCTTATCCTGAGACACCCAGAAACAGTTCATATCCCACATGATGTGGAGATACTGTTGACAGTCTGCAGCCCAAGCTCTAACACAGCAATGGGCACATAGATATGGACTGATCTTCACAATGGCACATAATATCAAAAAGGTGTAACACCTTGAATCCAGTGAATCTAATGCCTCTACCTGATGATAGAGAATGTGCTGTTGTGGTGCTGGTTGGCCAGAGTGGATTGCCAAATTTGAGAGACCCTAAGACCATGTATGAGAAGGACTGCTCAATAGAAGAAAAGAAACAATGAGAAAAGTGAGAGGCGACACAAGATTATGATGGAATATAGTCTACTGAGGGGAAGCCAATTCTGTCAAAGAGATATTTAATCTGTGTGGCTAGATGGTTTCACAATAAAGTCAGTGGAGAGGCAGAGGCAACAGCTAGCCAGGTAAAAAAGAATAAAAAATGGGCAGCTCCATGAATTTATGCCACTGCAAAAAAAAATCACAAAGAGCTTTCCAGCCTACCAGAAGTTCTCAAGTATCAGAGTTAGGATGACTAATTATGAGCCTACTTCCCTTTTCAGCCTCCAGAAATAGACTTTATGGACACTTATGGCTGCATATAAGTATTTGCTAGTGACAGCAGACCAGGTATCAGGCTGGGGAGAAGCCTTTTCAACAAAAAGGGCCAGCACAAGAGGAGTAAAAAAGGCCTTGGCATTAGAAATTATCCCTAGATGCAGGGTTCTACAGAGTCAATTGAATCAGACAGGGGTGCTCGTTTTACAGCTGATATAAACAACCAGTTGTGTAAGTCTTTGAGAATAGAGAGAAAATTACATATAACTGTATCAGTCACAATCTTCAGGACAAGTAGAGGGGATGAACAGGACATAAAAATATGTACATGCAATTATCTGAAATGGCCACAAACCTTAAATTTGGCACTGTGGAATGTTTGGAATGTTCCATCACAACCTATAGCATTGGCAGAAAGTCTCTTTGGAAGGCACTCAGCTAGATCAGGACTTATATTCCAGCTAAGACCAGCCTTTTGGATGGAAAAGAATGCATGACCCAGTATTTTATATGTAAAATATAGAAAGGGGTCAAGGAATGGAGAAAGTATGCACAGTAGTATCAGCTCAGCCCACTTGAAATAGAAGTAAATGATACACAGCATGCAGATGTAGTGTTAATCAAGATATTCTCACAAAAAGTCAAATTAGAACCTAAATGGAAGGGACCATATGCTGGCTTACTGTGTTCTTATTTTGCTATTAAAATTTTGCATTAGTAAAACTGGATACACCAGTTTCATATCCAATAAGTAGTGAATGATAAACCAGTTAGACAATAAATGAGTTTCAAGAATCTTTCATGATCTTGTCTTGATAATAGTTTCTGCTCTATGACAACATTAGGCTTAATTCTGTTACTTGTAATAATGTTGTAAGTAAGGGCAGTGTAAAATGCCGTGAAAACTTTCTTTTTCCCTTTTAATATATTAGCAGGTATGCTCAATCAAAAAAAAAAGGGTAAACATTCTGTGAAGGTAGCTCGGAGTGCATTTGCAATGAGAGCTGCAGGTTGAGCTCTGGATGGGAGCCCGAGGCAAGAGGCCATGAACTTCCACCCCTTGACACAGGAAAGGGCACAGGGACCTGTGGCACCAGCCTGGGGGCTGACAATGAGAGGCAGCAGGAGCCAAGGACTCAGCAGAAAGACCCCAGACTTTCTGTCGCTGGTATAAAAGTCCAGATAATCCTTTGTTCAGGGTTCCTCCTTGAGGCACCAGCTGTTACTCTGTTAGTGAACCATAAATAAATCTCTTAAGGGATCCAGAGGTCTGAGATTCTGCTACTGGAAACCTGGGGTTGAACTGTTAAGGAAGCCTTGTCTGTGAGTGTGGCGTGTGTAGGGGTTCAAGACAGGGAGCCTTTGGCCCAGTGTGAACCCTGTGATGGGGCCTCAGTCCCAGCAATTACAGTCTCTGGTGGTGTGGCTGCTGGAGTGCTCCTGAATGGTCAGATAGGAATGTTTGCTTAAGACACACATTTCTCTAGACAGGACACAAGGACTCCATTAGGCAAACCCTCCTGCAGAAGCCATAAACACAGTAATGGAGCTAAAGCTTAACATTTTAGTACACACAGGCAAAGAACTGGAATTGTTCAGGCTCTGTCAGAGAACTCCGCGCAATCTACAGCTCTTGAACGGGTGTAGATTGAGATGAGATTGAAACTCCCCTTGGAAAGGCACAGTGAAACAACATGGCTCCAACTGTAATGAGAAAAATTATGACTGACAGCAGGAAAAGTTTTCTTTCTGAGGATGGTCAAGCACCAGAACAGGGTCCCAAAGAGGAAGTGAAACGTATTTTACTTAAGCAGGCATTAGCACTTTTCTTTGTGTAGAACAAGAGCAAACAATCTGCAGATATATAATGATCCGAAGATTCCACAACCGTAGCCTGGGATCTGTATGAAACATTTTCCAAGAAAAAAACCCTGATTTTTGTATTTACAAGGCACCTTCTAAACAGTTGGTTATGTCAGCAGCTCTATTGCAGGCATAAAATTCTGCCTGATTTCAGCAGGACTGCCCTTGTTCCTCTGTGCTGCATATTCTTATGTACTAATACATATTCTGACTCTCACATATTCCACCAAAATGCTTGGGTTTTAAATATATTACTATTTTTTGACATCTCGTATGTGTGTTAATACTCTGTATTGCTTTTATTCACAGGAATAACAAAGCATATTAAAAAGACAGTATGAGTTTGGTTGAATGCAGGTAAGAGTTACGGCCAATGAAAGCGTGCAAACTCTGTAAGACCATGAGCACTATATTTCGATTTCTATAAATTAGAACTTTCAGAGCACAGCATTCAACTTGAAAAATAGGAAGTGACAAAACATACCCTGGAAGACACCACGGCCACGGCCACGGCTCGCCTGCCCGAAGTGCGCCACGGCCTCCCGCTGCGCACACCCTGCCCCCGCCTGCCCTGCATCCTTCTCTCCCTGCCCTCGCCTGCCCCATATCCGCCTCTCTTGCCCCCGCCTGCCCCATATCCGCCTCTCCTGCCCCCGCCTGCCCCATATCCGCCTCTCCTGCCCCCGCCTGCCCCATATCCGCCTCTTCCTGCACCTGCCGGCCCCGCATCCTTCTCTTCCCCGGGCTCCCGGCATGGCGCAGGGGGAGCCGGGGGCTCGGCTGTGCGGTGTCCACGCCGGGCGGCCTCTGGAGCTGTTCTGCCAGGACTGCGGGTGCTGCGTGTGCGCTCTGTGCCCGGCGCTGGGCGCGCACCGAGGGCACCGCGCCTGCCTCCTGCCGCACGCCGTGCGCCGCACGCAGGTGAGTGCCCGGGGCCGCTGTGCCGCGGGGGCTGAGCCGAGATCTTCCCCATCTTGGACACGTCTTAGCGGTTATCCCCTCGTTTCTGAAACTTGTGCCGCTGGGTTTTCTTTGGCTAGGGTGTGACGGTGGCATCTGTAAGTATTAGTGCAGCGCCACAGTACTAAGCCGATCTTCAGCCTTGCTTTGCTTGCCTTGTAAACACTTTGTGAAGTTCAAGGTTTGTAGGCTGTGTTGACTAGCAGAACAAAGTTTCTGTGCTTTCTGTACTTCAACAAGTGCTTTGTAGATCCCATATAGACAGGGACAGCCTGATGCTTCTGCACAAGGATATGGTTTGTGTACGAAAAGGAAAGAGTTAATCAGTCACACCCAAGCGTCCGCAAAACAGGGTATATAAGTCAAGGAACAAGGAGGAAGTGGCTTTGATTGTTAGGTCACATGCAGCAGCATTTTATCCTCAGACTTGTATGTGGAATCAGAGGAGTGTGGATGCCCCAGGGAATTTGTTTTTATTGCCAGGCTGGAAGAACCTTTGACCAAAACATAGGTGCCCCAGGAAAAGGGGAAAGGTAATTTCTGTTTGCCCCCTGGCCCCACCATTGTAGCTGGCTAGATCACAGTGACTGCCCCGGCACAGCTCTCTGATAACTCCTCTGGGATGTTGTGGGGTTAACCCTAGTAGGCGGCTAAGCACAACACAGCTGCCTACTTATTCCCCTTCCTTGACCAGTGGGACAGGAGAAGAGGAACACTAAAACCAAGAAAATTAATAGGTTGAGATAAAAATAAGTTTAATAGGAGAAGGAGAAGTGGAGGGAAGAGAAGAAGAACAAAAGTGATGTAAAGGCAGACACTCACCAGACAGTTCCTGAGCAAAAGACAGCTGACCCACCTAAACACCTCACTTCCAGTGTGCTGAACATGATGTTATATGGTATGGATTACCTTTTTGATTAGTAGGGGTCATCTCCTGCTTGTGTTCCCTACTAGTTTTTTTGTGCACTCACAGTATAGTCACATTTGAAACACAGTACCACACAGGCTATTATGAGGAAAACTAACTCCATCCCAGACACAGTCAGCCCAGGGGTACTTTCCTAAGATTTTTTTCTTCATCCCAGTGTAGCTGTCCACCAAATATCTTCAGGAAGCTTTGCAAGCTTGCCAACACTCCTTCTTGTGCTTTGTTTTAACTGGAGAGCCTGCCAGGAGGCTTGCTGAGGCCTGCATGCTGTGCTGCTAAGCCTGGAAGACTTAAAATACTGTAACACAGAGGTTTGATGTTCCGAAGCTTCTTGTCTTTCTTTTTTTTCTTTTTTTTTTTCCCCCTCTGCAATTTCAAAAAGTTCCTTCCCACTCCTTGTACGATATTTTGGAGCAGCGTTACTAGGAGGTTTCCTACAGAAAACGCTAGGAAGAAACAGTTCCTAGAGAACTTCCTGCTTGGAAGTTCACAGATTGTGAGCTAGTACACAAGTTATGATAAACTCTTGAGCATTTTATTGCATTTCATGTTAGAGAGTATTACAAGGGCAGAGGGCCGTGCACTGAGGCTGCCACAAACAGCAGCACAGAGGTAAAACTCTTTAAGATGTCTAAGCAATGCACAGCACTGTGCCTGCCTGCTGGTGTGCTTTCATCCCTCTTGCAGGTGGGAACTCGCTCTAGTGTTTGTGTTCCCTTCATGGCAGGGCGGGAACGTGTGGATGATGCACATATTGTGCAGTGTCAACCTGATCCGAGGCGAAGTAAAGTGCACAAATCTACAAACTATGCTGCTCCCCTGGGGCTCTGATGGACAGAGGGCAGCACGTGCTGTTGATAAAGATTTGTCAGTGTGCCATATCAGGAAGTGAGCCGGGTAGAAAACTTGTAATCCCATGTGACCCTCTGTCCCTCGGAGGTATCTGCTGACATCTACTGGCTTAGGGTTGCAGAGATTTTTAGGCACAAACCATCAGTAGTTTTAGCCTAAGGGACGGTATTTTGACTAAGGATTTTGTTCGCTGTGAGCAGTTACTCAGTACAGCCTTTGTGGCGTGACATCAGCCAGGCAGCACTTCTTGCACTGAGAATCTTCCGCAGCTCTTACAGCAAATCCTAGCCTTGAGTACTAAGAAGATGTGAGAATCAAGCAGCAAGGTCCATCAGCTTCTTCGTCCCTGGATCAGAGACTGTTTAAAATCATCGAAAAGGATCCTCCCTGCGCTCCTGAATGCAGCGCACAGGATCGGCATTCTTTGCACACAGTCCTGTGAGCCTGACTGGAGCTCGGAGTGCCATCTCAGAAATCTTTGCTCTTAGAGTGTTTTTACTTGAATGAGTTAAAGTCCCCAGGCAACCCCTTAAGGAAGGTTTTCAGCATCAGTTCCTCAGGGTGAATGACATGGGTTGCTGGCACGGTCTTCAATCTGTAGGAAGCAGCTCTTTCATGTACCTCTATAAAGAAAGTAATGCTTAACCAGAAATGCTTGGGATTGACATAAGTATTTGCATATGGTCACTGTTGTGAATGCACAAAGTGATGTGTGTTACTAGCCAAGAAGGAATATTGGGTTTTTCTCTGTGGTCTTTGTCATTCTCTGAGGAAGGGAATGAGGTCTGACTGCAAAATAAACTAAGGAAGGCTAGTATCTGGTAGAGGTCATGAATCCTCTAGTGGTGTAGAGGATTCATTTCAGTTCTTCAGAGACAAGGCTGGAAAACTGTGTCTGGAATAAATAGCACGGGTGTCTTGCTCTATGCAAGAATATTTACCTGCTTGCATGGATGTACCTGTGCCAAGGGCCTTCCAGATGCAGAGTCTGGCTTTTGCTGGGAGTCCATTTTCTTCTGACTCTGCCACACTCAAATGACAACCTGCATGTGTTTTCTAAGGAGACACATCAGAAATGCAAATCGCTCTTGTGAAGCATCACTCTGCACTCTGCAACACTCTGTGTTCTGTTTGCCCATGATGCAGAGTTTAAATGCTGTGCTGCCCTGGGGCTGTTGCTGTGAACTGGTACATGTGCATGCAGGTGTTCTTGACTGGGTCTCAGCTGTGGAAGAGGACACTGATAGCAGCTACAGCTGGTGCTACCTTACCTGGTATTTACTGAGGACCTGTTTTAGCACCAGTGCACTGAGAGCGTGGGGCAGCATTGACTGTATCCTTCAAGGTACCAATGACAAAAATGCATTACCAGGTACACCAACACTGTTCAACCGGCTGGGCAGAGGGCAGCCAATTTCAGAGGGCTGCGGGTGAGAAACTGGGGCAAGACTTAAATAGGACATTGATTGTGCTGTGCTGGGCAAACCCCAAGTATCACAGATACTGTGATTGATTACCAGCCATCCTGACACTATTAGCTGTTGCAGACATTCAGACTACAGCATCACTGTGGTGATAGTGGGGTATCTGATTGGTCATTTTTACATCGGGAAGCATCCTGAACATTCACTGGATTTTGATTCTACGTGGAGCCTTCCACTTGTCCTCTAAATAAAAGTACTTAGCTGCCCTTCAGCTGCTAAATGCATTAGCACGTAGTCTTGAAATACACAGCACCATAGATTTAAAGAGGAAAATGCTTTTTTCACTCTGGGTTTCCCTGTGCTTTAAGAAGGTGATGCTAATTTGCACAGCTGTCCAAACCTTACCAATATAACCACTGGGTGAAATGCTGAAATCCTTACAGTTCATCACTGTACTGGCCTTAATAAGTCTCATAAAAGGCCATTCATTTAAGAGTTGAAGGCCATTCATTAAAGAGTTGTACCTTCCAATTCAGAGTATTATATGATTCTGAAACTGAGTATTTCAGTACACCCCTTTATGGAAATCAAGCTGGATATTGTTTCTGTTTTTTACCGAAGTTGTTATGAAACAGTGTTTTATTTTGTTTCAATGTTGTATAGGAACTCATGGAATTGCAGTTGGAGAATCTAGAAGAGAAAAAAGAGCAAGAAGCTGGTAACAAAAGGAACGTAGAGCAGGCTGTAAATAATGTGAAGGTAAAGTGTAGTTTTATTCTCCACTGGATGGTCATTCTCCAAGGGGAGACATTTTGTTTTCTCTGTAGCTATTCAAATATCCAGCCACATACTGCTTCTCTGGAGAAGAGTGCATTCCCTGTATCAAAATATATTACACTATCAGAGAGAGGGAAGAGGGATAGTCTCCAAAGACCTGGTCCTCATTCCTTGATCAGCTGAACATCTCTGGAAGATCAGGAGTGAAATTTTTGTGCAGAGGAATAGTAGGTAGCCTCAGCTTGCCTATGTTATTCTGGCTTCACTTGTGTATCTTGCATCGCACTGAACTGCATTATTGAATTTTCTGGATTCAGAGCTGAGTAAACACAAAGAACAGTTCTGTTGATTCTGTCTTAATGGGAAAGTATGCTAAGCTGCACCTCATTCATAGAGCATGAAATGACTTCTGCTCTAAGGAGCATCTAAGCAGCTCTGTCACAGAAATGTCAGTAAGAGCTTGAGGGGGCTTTAGAGACTTGGTCTGATGTCACTTTGCGTTGGAGGTTTTCTCTTCCTACCAGCTACTTGTCTCAAGCCTGCTTTAAAAGCAAAGACTTGCTACTGAAGGACAAGGTCTGCTTCTTGTTGCAATTGGTACCCTGTTAATTCCAGCTGAAAACAGATTTTTCTACATAAATAAGCATCTTGGAATCTTCCCTCAATCTTTTCCATCCAGACATCAGCAGATAGATCATGTCTGCACTACCTCAAGGGGTAGAGACATGTTTCTGAAGAAATGGAGAAAGTCAGTAAAATTCAACCAAAACATAGCACTGAAAGCCTGAAAGAGAAGTGTCTGAAATGTTTATGGTCTGTTGAGCAAGGGGAAGACATTCTTCTGTTCTTTCTGTTCCTCTGTTAGGCACATGCTAATATGATCAAACGGCAGCTGTCAGAAAAAATGACTGAGCTTCAGTTACTTCTTCGGGAAGAAGAGAGTTTGGCAAAAAACTTCATTGATGAAAAGACTCAGCAAGCCCTGGGAGCACATGATCAGCATTTGAGGTCCTGCCAAGAACAGCTTGCAGCCCTGGAGACCTTCACACATCGAATCAGACAAATACAACAGGACAGTGATCCTATTCATTTGCTGGAGGTGGTATTGTATGGTCTCTTTCTACCTCTTACCTTGACAGTCCTTGGTAAATTTCTCGAGTGATGTCTTCCACAGATCCTTTAGTATGTAAACAGCATTTTTCTAACTGCTTTCTAATTTGCTTTGTGTTGGTGTATTGGTGAACAAATTTGGTTCCTGATTTTTGAGATATTAGGTTTTCCTGCTATGGCATTGATTTCAGGTCTGTATGAAATTCATGTTAATTTTAAACAGAAATGGAAAAGATTGATAGATGCCTCTTAATTTTGAAGACAAATGCTGCATCAAGTGTCCAGTGTAATATGAAGATCTGAGAAAAGGCAGCCCTCAGGAGACCTCAGGAGGGAAGTTAAAATGTGCAATTTCCTTAACTGCAAGAAATCACCATAAGCAATAACCATAACTTCACTGCAGGGGGCAATGCTTTTTTGTTGTTGTTGTTTACAGAGAAACATCAGTTTCTCTCTCCTAATGATCTTCACCTTCCTTGGGAAGAGTGTGTTGCCATATGCTTATGCCCTGACAGAAGCCAGAAGATACCATTTCTTACAGGATGATACCTCTGGTGCATTTTTACTTCCTTGCAATGTGTCAGACTTGAGTTTCCATTGCTGTGATATGGTCCTGGCACTCTGCTGTGTGTGGTAGCAACACACCTCCACACAGGAGCTGCTCTTTGTGACTTTGTGGAGATTTTCTTGTGGGGAGGTTGGATTTTATTCTTCAGATTGCTTTTAAAACTTAATGGTTTGATTTTGCCATTGATGGGATTCCCCACAAAGGGTCCTGGCCAGGCTAAATTAATTTCCATCCTGGAGAGATCTCTTTTAACCATGGCTGTTGGGTTCTCCTTGTCTGGGGTGACCACTGGCTCCACTGGCAGGCGGAAGGAATGGGCAGGCAGCTGAGCTGAAAGGGAGGCTGAGCTCAGCAAAGCTTGCCTGTCATGGCCCCTAGGTTTAACCAGTGATGGAGCTGTCCTTGCTCTGTGGTGGATGGGAGCTGGGAGGGTCCTTTCATGTCACAGTCTCTGCTAATTGTAGTGTTTGGCTTTCTGCCCTCAGAAGTACACAGAAATTGAGAAGGAAATTAAGGAATTCAGGCACTTGTTAGAAGAGTGGCATCCAATACCTCTCTCATTTGAACACTTACTGAACCACTATAAACACTTCATCAGAATTCTTCAGTCCGTTCTACAGAAACCATTGGAAGCTCGGCTTAAAGAAGGTACCTAGGAGAGTGCTCTGAATTTTGCTTTCTTCTCTCTTTGCAAAGAATGTGTCCTTTTAAAGTAAGAATAGAACTTGTTACCAAATCATCTGGAGAAAAAACAGTGTTTCAGGCATGGGTACTGTTTTCTGACAGCATGGGTGTAATGCTGCTATAGCAGTGGTAATTTAGAAACATACAAAGTTTCTCTTCCAACTCTGAAAATGATCTTTGATTTGTCTGCTGCTTTTCCCCCCACCTCCCATTCATTTCAATACAATTTAATGTAGTCCATCACACATACAGCATGTATCTATTCTCTCAGCTACTTCCAATTGTGTGTAAGTGCTCTGGCATTGAGGTACCTCTAAAATTTGAAAGCTTTTTCTAATTTATCTACCTGGTGATCTGCCTTAGTCTGAAAAAAATAATGATTTTTGGTACTGTAGAGCTGAGCAAACATACTCTATTTAGAAATCCTTTTGTCTTTGAGCTGCTATTTCATCCTTAAATGACCTTTAGCATGATTAAGGCAGGGAGTTTTTCCTGATGGGACACAGAACCACAAAGCCTAAATAGCCAAGGGAAAATCCTGCTGCTCTTTGAGTGAGCAGGCAACACTGGCCATCACATTTCACCCAGCTGCCTTTTAATCCATTATCAGAGAATCAATATCACAGAAAAGACAGTAGCAGATTGCTGGGGCAAATGGTCAAACCTGATCTGAAAGGCCATGGCAGTGGTAAGATGTGTGTAGGATTGCTAGAAAGCATCGTGGAGGTGCCAGCACCTTCAGCTGTCTATTTTCATCTGATAAGGGCTACTTTTTAAGGAATCAGGTGTGATTACTTCGTGATGTACTCAACTGTGTATTTCTTTGGCAACATAGTCCAGCACCTCCATGCTATCAAAGAGCATAACGCTGAAAGCATACAGAGTGAGTAACCCCTCCCCAGAAAAAGTAACACAGTTTGTCCATGAAGTTGGAAAATGATTTTTGAAAAACTGGCAGATGCCCTAAACTGTCTCTTTTTATCTCTGCCCAGATGTTTTCAGTAGCCTTAATCCCACTGCAAAGAAGGAGCCTGGGACAATGCTGAAAACCATGACTCCTGTAGATCGGTTGCTTTTCTTAAAACGTAAGTATGATTATACTAGAGTGCTAGAATCTCCTGAGCTGTTATTGAGCCACAGAAATCACTAGGGTCCAACTCCTGGGCCTGCACAGGATCATGTGTCTGAGAGAGCTGTCCAAATGCTTCTCGAGCTCTGTCAGGGTTGGTGTTGTGACCACTTCCCTGGGGAGCCTGTTCCAGCCCAAACATCCTCTGGGGAACCTTTTCCTAATATCCAACCTCAACCTTGCATGACAGAACTTCAGACCATTCCCTCGGGTCCTGTCACTGGTCACCACAGAGAAAAGATCAGTGCCTGCCTCTCCTCCTCCCGCCACAAGGAAATTGTAAACTGCAATGAGATCTCCCCTCAGTCTCCTCCAGGTGGAACAGACTGAGGGACCATAATTCTCTGTGTATAGCTTCTCTTTATCCCATCACTATGAGTGACTCAGGTTAGAAATGTGTGGAGTCAATGCTGGTGCCCTGCTGTGATTCTCTTGGCACACCTTTTGCAGTCCCAGTGTCTCCAGAGCTGTAGGCTCTGTGGCTCTCTGAATCCTGACCTTAACCCAAATGACAGCTTGGTGCTGTGGATGAGGTGCCCATCACATGGGTGGCCTAGGTTAGAAAGGTATGGGGACAGCAATGTTGGTTCACTGCTTTACATACTTGACATACATTTTCCAGCCCCAGTGTCCCTGGAGTTGTAGGCTTTATGGCTAGCTGAACCCTATCCCTACCTAATGTAGAGTCAGCAATGTTGGGGCCCTGCCTTGCTCAGACGGGAATGCCTTTTCCAGATACAGTGTCCTTGGACCTATGGGCTTTCTGGCTGAGCCCTAACCCTAAGCATAAAGAAGCCTTGGTGCTGTGGCTGAGGCCCCGTCACCATGGCTGGCCCAGATGAAAGGTGTGGAGGCATCAATGTTAGTACCCTGCTGTGATCTCCTTGGCATGCCTTTTCCAGCTCGTGTTCCTGGGACTGCAGGCTTTCTGACTGTCCCAAGACACTTCCAACAGTGGGCCCCTTTGCAGGTGTTTTGTAACTCTGACTTCTTCCAAGGGTAAAGAGAAATGTAGCAAGTATGTTTATGGCTTTGACTGCAGATGCAAGATCACCAACCTGGGAATATGACAGCATTCACCCGCGACTGAAATTGTCTGATGACCGTCTTGAAGTAAGCTGCAGCTGGAGGAAAATATTTTACCCCTGTGGTCCCCAGAGATTTGATAAATTATGGCAAGTGCTAAGCAGAGATGCATTCCTTTCCGGGAGCCATTACTGGGAAGTTGACGTGCTTCATGCTGGAGCAGGATGGTGGATTGGCGCAGCCTACCCTACCATTGGCAGGAAAGGAGATTCTGAAGCCTGTCGACTGGGCTGGAATAGAGCATCTTGGTGCCTTAAGAAGTTTGATTTTGAATACTGGGCGTTTCACAAGGGAGAGAGAATCCCCATCCTGATAGAAGATGATCCTGATTGCATTGGCATTTTTCTAGATTACGAAGCAGGAATCCTTTCATTCTACAATGTTAGCAATGGCATGGCTCATTTGCACACCTTCCGCTGCAAGTTCACAGAACCAGTTTATCCAGCTCTGAGACTCTGGGAAGGGTCCATTAGAACATGCAAACTAACATAAGAAACAAAGCAAAATTAAGCCTATCCTTTTGTGCTTTTTCTATTAATGTTACTTCACCAATTATCTACATTAATTCATCTTTTTCATATCAAAGTTGTAATTATGATGCTTTTAGAAGGTAACACAAGTTCAGGAAAACCAACTGTGATTTTTAGTTTTTTTTTTTTGTTTTGCTTTTTTTCAATGAGGGAAGGTGATCTGGCTTTTATAAATGATGTTGATGGACCACTCAAAATGCCGTATGTACTACTGCTGTACTTTTTTCAACTTGTAAGTTCAAGAAAACCAACTGCATTTTTTAATGTATATGTATTTTTCAATGGGGGAAGATGATTTGACTTATAAATGTTGTTGCTGTACCACCTGAAGTGCTGTATGTAGTACTTTTCAATTTGCAAAATGGAACAAGTCAGGTTGAAAGAAACATGTTACAACTCAGACTGGAACCTGGATATTGGCTTTTTAAAAATTTTTTTAATGAACTCCCTCCCCTCATTGTGGCCTGGAGAGGCTGCAACTGTATATGGCAACAGGTCTAGTTTGGTTCAAGCTTCGCGATTATATACTGCATATTGTTATCACTGACAAGGTCAGATTTGGATAATAAATGCACTAAGTGAATTAGCTCATATTTAAGTGTCATCTTGGAAAAATCAAAGACTGGCACTGACTCTTGGAAAGGTCTCTTCTAAAGCTGGAGCTTCTGTGGCCACATTTAATAGTCATTAGCTGGTCTTACACATGACAGAAACTCTGAATTGGACTTCTGGGTGGCCCTAGTCTTCCCATTGAGTGGAAGCATGGGAAAAGCTGTGTAGAGCCCCTAACAGAGGATGAAATGTCTGCAGGGCTCACAGGTGCAATAAAAACACCAGGCCAGAGATGCATTTGTGGGCCATTTATTCTTGTGTCCAATTTGCAAAGTTCACATAAAACTAGGGGACACAGCTTGCAAGTTTCTGTACATGGATATTTCTGCCTCCACCAATGCATTAATTAAAGTCCTGGAAATTTCTGGAATCTTTGCTTACAGCAGTCTCCAGGACCAGCCCAGCTAAGAGTGAAAAACCACTGCTACTTGAAACTAGTCAGGTAATGTCACAGTATTCAAATACTAAAGGCCCTGTATCACCAGAGCAAAGGCAAGGTCTGACCATAGTTTGAAATGCAGAAACAAGAGATCGTTTTATAAGCGAAATTTATTTTTCAAATTTGAAATTTAAAAAAAAAAATCTTTTCACAATTGAGTCGTTTTTTAATATAAGGCAAGCATATTTCATCAGTCACAGCTCACATTTGGTCAAGTATATGACTCAACCTCTGCTTCCCCATTTAAAGATACGAATACAGTTTCCTCAGAATTGCACAAGGGTAAACATTTTGAAAGTAAACAGTTTATAGGTACAAAACCACTCACCACCAAATTCAAGATACTTCACCAACTCATGACCAAATGGTAACAAGTTCCAAGTAACCATCACTAGTAAATGATTCCACCACAGAAAAGCAGATGAATTATTGCAAAGCAGTTCTGTGCTAAGCAAGGTAATTGAAGAATGTCTAGTTTGCAGCTGCTGCCATATGGCTCCTTTCTGGTCAAAGGGAAAAGCAGCAGGTGACAGGAGCGGGATTGCATTTCACACTTGAAAGGTGAGAATCTGGGATGCAAAAGCAGACCACACAAAAGGTGTACTGACCATCATGCTGAAGCACAATGGTGTAATGTAGTCAGGCAGTACGCCTCAGCCATCTCACACACAAGTGTTGAGAGAAAAACCCCAACGTAGAGGATTTGCTGGTTAGTACAGAAAAAAAAATAAGCGGCTCAAGCTTCACCAGCATTTGGCTTCCTACCTGAGAAGTTGCCCCCTAGGTCCAAACAGAGGCATACAAATGCTCTGCAGAATCAACTTAATATTCCAGACTTCACTCAACTCGCAATAGATACTTTTCATAATTTCTGAAGCATAGGTTAAGCTTATTTCCACTGATTTACCTCAGATGTACTTTTCTTCCCTGTTCTATCTCTCTGGCTTGTCTTTTGGCCTTTCAGTTCACAAAATACTCTCTTGCCCCTTAAATGGGACCTTTCTAAATATCCCGTATGCTTCCTTACCTGCTACTGTCTCTTGCGAACTTAACTTTCTGAAGAAGCCCATTTTCCCACAGAATACAGATGCCTGCAACTCACTCCTTTATCACGACACTTTTAGGCTTTCATCTTAAAAAAAAAATCCATCCAGGTTGCATTTGTAGTTTTCTCTGTTCAGTGTATGTACATTTTCACTTATCTGTACTCAACTCCAACCAGAGTACTGCTGTGAGAGGGGTGAGGCAAATGGTAGAAAAGAGAGGAACATCAAAAGATACGGGGCTAGAACAATTCAAAGTGTAGACAAAATTCTCACAATTTACTGTATTCTTAACAGAAAAGGGAAGGTGGAAAGCAGCAGACTGTGGTCTTATATTTGGCAGAACTCCAAACTAAGTTTGTGGTTAAGTGGAATGGAGGAGAAAGGATCATGGCATTTCCTAGGCACGATGCTATACAGTTTATAATAAAATCTTCATAATTTATATCCCCTTGCTTTTGAAACTTCCTGCTAATGAGAACCTGAAATTTCTAACTTGTTCGCACCCTCATAATTACACCCCTTTCTTCTAATCTACCATGCTGCTATTCTCATATAGTATACTCATGTATAGTAGTACATTGAGAAATATGGAATGGAGTGCTTTGGTTTAGCACTTCACTTTTTTTACATGATTTTCCACTACTTGCTCAGTGATGGTTTCATCTTCTTCAATATTTTTTTTGACCTTCTGGCCCACCAGGTCAAAGATGGATTCTGGGGGAAATCCCTTCGGCTCTCCCACCTTCACCGTCAGCATGTCAAGTGTCAATATTGCACCTTCAGGAATTGCCATTTTCGCCACTACTGACTTTCCCAGCTGCAGGGGAGAGAAAAAAACCCCAATGTTTATGTGAAATAATTGCTAGCATAGTATTACAAAAAAGGATAAAAACCACTCTACTGTTATTTGAGAACAGGTTGTATAGAAGTGCCTTCTCCATTACTTATTCCAAATGAAGATTAATTTAGCATGGTTACTTTCACTGTAACCAAGCTGCCAGGAACATGCAGATGTTTTCTAGAATTAGACAGTGGCTCACTGGAATTTTTCAAAATCACAATGGAGGGAATCTGATTAGAAGGACTGGCATTTTATAGCTTACCATAAAAGCAGCTCATATATAATCATAACAGCTCATATACAATCATATACAATTCCTATTACGATTGCCAAGTGCCTGGCACTGGTGAGGCCACACCTCGAGTCCTGTGTCCAGTCCTGGGCCCCTGACCACAAGAACATTGAAGTGCTGGACTGAATTGAGAGAAGGGCCATGAAGCTGCTGGAGGGTGTGGAGCACAAGCCCTGTGATGAGCAGCTGAGGGTGCTGGGGATGTTTAGCCTGGACGAAAGGAGGCTCAGGGGTGACCTTATCACTCTCTACAACTGCCTGCAAGGAGGCTGTAGCCATAGGGGGGTTGGTTTCTTCTCCCAAGCAGCAAGTGACAGAACGAGAGGAAAAGGCCTCAATCTGTACCAAGGAAGGGTTAGATTGGGTATTAGGAAAAATTTCTTCTCTAAAAGGGTTATAAAGCATTCAAAGAGTCTAGAAGATGGAAGCAGTTGAGTCATGATCCCTGGAGTTATTTAAAATGCGTAGACATGGCACTTAGGAACATACAACGGACTTGGCAGCGTTAGATTGGACTGAATGACCACATGGGTCTTTTTCAGTCTAAACGATTCCATGCTGCTACTCAACTTAGTTAACCACTGGATGATAAACACAGAACTCTATTATAATCAAAACTGCCAGCATTATGCAGTGTGAAATTTTTTAAGTGCAGAGGAAGAAACACTACTGCAATAAACAATTTGCTAGCTATTTTTCTGAACATAGAGTTATTAGCTATACGTCTAAATTAGTTGCAGGTTTACACAAACCGAAATAAAAAATTACCTTTTCATTGCAAGCCATTTCACAGGGCAAGAGTTGTTTGACTGGAGAACCCATTGCTTTTTCCACAGTACGGATGGCTTTCACTAACTCTGCCAGTTCATTTGGCTCCAGAGATGCTTGGTGATCACTTCCTTTCCATGTTTTATCGAGAGTCACGTGGCGTTCCAGTACTTTAGCACCCATAGCAACAGCTGCCACTGAAATGGCTATGCCAGTTTCATGCCCCGAATAGCCAATGGGGATATCAGGAAATGCTGACTGATATGCCTTGAATCACGACAGAGTTGATGTGAATTACCAAGGTAGCAGTTTCAAAGACAAAGCAAATTTACCACTGATAACTGCAGTGGACAAATACTGTGCATAAAACAAGCAGTTGGTTATGCAGCGAACACAACTTTTTAAATTCAACAAGTCACACTGCATTACCAATCACCACGTTCCAAATGTGACTAATATTATCAATATTAACAAGAACAAGGAAATATGTTCTCTATAACTTATGTTTCTCCTTTTAATTCAGTTCCGCTATTCAAGGTCTTCAAAGCCAGTATCAGTGTAACAGTAATAGTATACTATTTTCATCTAAGAACCCAGTGGATTGGTTAAATTTAATCTGTACCCTAAACAGATTTCTTCAACATTGTATTTAAAATCTGAACCAATCTTTTAATCTATGCATAGAGAAGAATCACTAAATCATAAAGGCACTTAAATGCAGCCATGTGTCATTCTATGTGCACAGAGATCTAAGGTAGTGCTTTAAGCATGGGCCAGTTTGGGAAAACTTTCTTACATCACTATTTGGTGTATCCAAGTAATATTTTTAACGAAGGAATCTATAGTAGGGTCTAATCAATTTTCTCCATTGCTCTGATAGTCACATGAAACTTTTTAATAAAAAGTTTCTGGCTTAGCTCCTTATTTAGAATTACGTTCTCACTTCAAGCACCTTCCTAATGATAACAGTCTACATAATTTTTCTGAGCACTGTAAACCACAGGGTTAACTTGTTAACCGTATGTCATGTTTTCCTCTGTTGAACTGTGAATGGTCCAGCAATATCCTTTATCATATTCCTTAAAGATGAGTTCTGCTAAAAAAAGGACCGCATGGCTTTTTTTACTTCAGTGCTTGCATGGTGAATTAGAGGAACATGACACATCTTGTAACTTCTCAGAGGCAAATTCCAGCACACCTTAGGACCTGGAAGTGTATCTCAGTTAAAGGACACAGCCCTTCTCTGCTACCCCAGCCACAGCATGCTCTGGGTTACTCACTGACCGATATAACACGGAGATTGACATCCTCTGGCTGAAGTGGGTAGGCGCTGGTGCACTGCAGGAAGCAGAAGTTTGGATTGATGGGCTTCACAATCTGATAAACCTGATGCATTGTGTTCATCGACTGCATCCCGCTGGAAATCACCATTGGGCGACCTAGCCATTAAAAAATATGTACAAGTTCTGTCCTAGGTCTACAAGAAAGCTACCCAAGATTGAATTAAATTCTTTAAGTAAATTAATTCAGGAAAACTAGAAAAGAAGGCAGGGTAAATTTTTTTTTTCAAAGTTTGAGGGTGAGTTTCTTTTAAAGAAATTTCAGATTTTTTCCCAAAAATCAACTGGAGGAAAAATCTAGTAACTGAGCTACAGAGAAATTGTGATGTTCACCAAGATGGCTCAAAGAAAATGCTTACCTTTCTTTGCAGTCTTTTCCAAATACGGAAAATTATTTGTATCTCCTGATCCTACTTTGAAAAATGGAACATCCAGTTCATGTAGAAATTCCACAGCCATCTACAAGGAAAAGAAGTCACTGTGTTTTAACACTCCGCTTCAGCTGGATCAAGGGAAAAAGAACTACCGTGCTTGGAAATAAACAACCTTTCAACACAACAAATCCAAAGCATAATTAAATAGGTGAAAACCTCCTCCTCAAAACCCCAAGATAATCACATCTTATTTGATCTAATTTTTCTATCATCAGTATGATGGAGATTCAGTTTCTTGCACCTGCAATGTATTACATCTATCTATTCACTATTTAATATATTTTATTCAGATGCATTGTGCATAAAGACAATGAGTACTCTATATTAAAACAGATCTTATCTCAGGAGATGGCAAAAAATTAAATATGACAGGCAGACCTTCTGTCTAACGCCACTCTTCATTAGGTAAGTATAGGTATCTCTTGAAAATTAGCAGCTCTTCTTTAAGAGATTCAAGAACCAGGAAGTAATTTCAAATAACAGAAATAACATTAAAGGGAGTGGTTCAATGAGATCCTGCTTTGTCTCCAGTACATACTGGAACAGAATACATAAAGAAGTTATTCATAGCCTTTGTACACTTCAATAATTTCCTCATATAGTTAAACACACAATTTAACCTCTTTGACATAACTGGAGATTATGTTAAATTTACATAAGTTAATGTATAAAAACTTTCAAAAGTTAATGTATTCTCAGAGTTTTTATGTCAATTTATGCAATATTTTCCTTAAGTTCCAAAGCCCTGTCTTGCAGAATTGCCACCAGAAATCTTAGGAGCCGTGTAATGTAATTACACACAGCACAAGCATGTATCAGTTCTGTTAACTAGCTGATGAAGCCACATACAGCAGAGAAAAAGAGAGATCCAGCAGCAGAAAGTGATCTTAGCTGCTGCCTAGAAAAGGTGTTCTGTGTTGTGCTACAGCCTTTAGAAACCAGAGGTTTTAACATCAAAGAAGGAGTGTGGGGGTTGTTTCCTTCCCAAAGGCATGTGGGCCTTTAAGATCCCATACACAGAAATCCAAGACTCCTGGGTTTATCTACTTCTTTCTTAAAGGAGTGCATGTTGTTCAGCAGGTCTTCTAGATGTGAAGACAGTAATAAAAGAAACATCACTACAATCTCTTTTCACAGATCTACTCCTGAATCTTTGGCACTGAGCTATTGCCATACACATGAAACATATTTGTCTATCGTCAGATGAAGAGGGAGAAAAAATTATATAAAAAAAAGAATAATACTGATATATCAGGAATTGTCTCTGATTGCAAGAGTGAGACACTGAATAGATTGCCTTAAAACATTAAGTAAATCACATCCTATCCTGGACATGCCTACTTGCAGAAAGCCAAGGACACTGCTCTGCTGGTCATATGCAAGAGTGGCTAGCTTACTTCTGCTAGGGTCTCTTTCAGTTTGGTTCTCTTTATTTTCTAGGCCACAGAGAAAATCTCATCAGTATAGATCTCTCATCTATACTGAAGTTCAAGTATTACCTGACCTTTACAGTTTACACATTTCAACTGCATGTTGCATTTGTTAATACTGTTACTACCAACATTCTGAGGCAAGCAACATGAAACAGCTACAAGTATACATGTCTTAAGAGGGAACAGCAGCAGGAGTTCTGTGGAGCTGTGAGGCTGGTGACTGACTATTCAAGAGCCCACTGGCAAAAATCAGTAAATGATTCAGCAGTAGCAGGCCAAGGTGCTGAGGCCCTCCATGAGATTAGTAAAAGAACAGGAGTCTAGTGAACAAGGAGGGCAGAAAAAAAGAGGGAAATAATANGGATTAGATCAAGAAAGGAATCTGGTTTAAATACAGAAGGAAGTTTGATATGCTTGAAACCAACATATCAGACAACACTGGAGAGCATCTGATTGCCATCTTGATCTACTCTCTCAAAGCCTCAATTGTTTAGGAAGGTCAAAATGAAGCCTTGTCCCTAAACTACTTACTGTGTATAAGCATCTCAACACATGTGGCAAGTCTTCCAAAACATTCCATCAACCATTGTAGAGACACAGGTGAACTGCCAAATTACTCCAGGTCTCTCAGTTAGAAACTGATTGTGCACATATTTTTTTTATGTAAGAACTATCACACCTAAGTAATACCCAACAAACACAACAGCCAGACTCCCCTTGTCATTGCAGTATGGCTTACATACCTCATCCATGCCAGAAGCTGTGAAGAAAATGCCAATCTCCTCTGCATACTTCTTTAGCTCTCTATACTGGTCATGACTGAACTCCAAGTGGCGCTTGTGTTCCCCATAGGTCTTTCCCCAGGAGTGTTTAGAGGTGTAGGGCCTTTCTAACGCTTTCTTGTTGAATTTGTACTCCAGTTCGCTCTTCTGGAACTTAGCACAGTCTGCTCCGCAGTCCTGCAAAACAAGCTGGTGCACACTGAGTGGCACTGCAAGTGAAACTGCACTCATCCTAACTCTGAATGCAAGGAGTGAGTAACTGATGTGCTCATCTGTAGTGGACTTTCGACATTATCATCACAGCAATCACAGAAATTGTAAAGAACAGGGTGACTGTGGACCTTTTATTTCAAAGTCCTGATACACTTAGTAGAGCAGCAGCTGAGAGAAGTCACGTCAAACTTATAAAACTACTTAGCTATGCATGCTGCTTATTCGAAGAGTTGACTTCTGTGGTGTTTCTCCCAGATTAGCTGTTACTGGTAATTTTACATTAAAAAAGGGCACAGGATTCTCTGGAACAAGGAGTATGAACCTGAAATTCATAGAATCAACAAGGCTGGAAGAAACTTTTAATATCATCCATCCACCCAGCATCACTGGTTATCCCTAGATTACATCACCAGCACCAGACACCTCTAGGAATCTGAAGTCACACAGTGAAGAAATACCCTCATTAGAGCAGTCTCCACTTATCTTCCAGTCACAGAACTGAATACACCATGCTCCAAGCTATGATGTAACATTTTCTATCAAACGGATATAACATCAAATTTGAAAGCAGCCTGGCCGTCCTACTGATGACATAAGCTTTACTGCAATAAAGCCCTAAGGCCAACCAAGTCAAACTGGAGGTTCATTAGAGACGGTTCAATAGCTGCCTGATACTTCCTAAATTCCCCGAGAGCTCATGCCCCATCTGCGGGGCTGCAGCCATGACATAAGATCACAAGAACGAATGAGTTGGAAAAGATCTCGGAGATCATTGAGTCCTTGAGGTGACTGAACACCAGCTTGTCAAATAGACCATGGCACGAAGCGTCACGTCCAATCTTTCCTTGAACACCTCCAGGGATAGCGACTCCACCACCTCCCTGGGCAGACCATTCCGATGTCTGTTCAGCCTTTCTGTGAAGAAATTCTTCCTGATGTCCAGCCTTAACCTCTCCTGGCACAGCTTGAGGCCATGTCCTCTCATCCTGTTACCTCGTAGAAGAGGCCGATCCCACCTGGCTACACGCTCCTCTCAGGGAGTTGTAGACAGTGATAAAGTCACCCCTGAGCCTCCTTTTCTCCAGGCTGAACAACCCCAGCTCCCTCAGCGGCTCCTTACAGGACAAGCGCCCCAGACCCTTCATCAAAGTAAAATGCAAGGGTTTCCCTGCAAACAATGTGTGTTTGGAATAAACCCTCACGCGCGCCCCCCGGCCGCGCCCCGGCTCTCTCACTCCCCCGCCTCCCCCCGCGCGCACCTTGGCCATACGGATCATGCGCTTGGCGATGTCCAGGTCACCCTGGTGGTTCTGCCCAATCTCGGCGATTATGAAGCAAGGGTGGTCGCCGCCTATGCGCCGCCCGGGGCACAGCTCGAACTCCCGAGCCATGACGAGATGCCGCCAGCCCCACGGCCCACCCGCGACTGCGCCGTCGCTGCCGGCGTCGCCGCACCTCCTCCCAGCCGCAGCCAATCGACGCTTCCGCCCCTGGTGCCGCCACGCCTCCTCCCAGCCGCAGCCAATCGACGCTTCCACCCCTGGTGCCGCCACGCCTCCTCCCAGCCGCAGCCAATCGGCGCTGCCGGCGGCCCGGACTCCCTCGCCCAGGGCCACCTCCCGGCCGGCAGGGGGCGCGGCGGCATGGTGCCGTCAGGGCTTGCCGTCCTCCGCCCGCCCTGGAGCGCGGTCCGCTGGGGTATCGGCAGCGCCGCCGTGGCAGCGGCTTCCTGGGAAACTCACACCAACTGGATGCTCCACCCAAGAGACCCTGAAAAACTTCCAGGGGTAGTGACTCCACCACGTCCCAGGGAAACGTATTCCAACGCCTAACCACCCTCACAGTGATAATTTTTTTCTGATATCTAATCTGAATCTCCCCTATCCCAAGGCCATCTCCTCTCGGCCTCCCACCACAGGCACGGCAGGAGACACCGACCCTCACCACACTACATTCTGAGTTCGGGAGTTGTACTGACTTGGTTCAGACAGAACTCTCCATGATACATGGAAATAAGTGGTAAAATGTGAAGTAATGGCTAAGGCCACTTCTGAGATTATTTTACTCCAAAGTCCTACTCTGAATGACATACAGATACACTTGTGACATTCTAGGCCTATCTGTGAGAGTTTTAATGGAACTGAAAATCAGTAATTTCCATTATTACAATTTTATGGTACATGTCTGGTGTTTGTTTGTTTGTTTTATCTGGTTTGTTTTGGTGAGGGATATGAAGCTGAGTTGAGTCTCAAGGCCTCATTGACACCCAATGTTAATACCACAGTTACAGTACAGTAATTCCTTCTGCTGATACTGACTGTTCCCAAGGAGAACTGCATTCTTCTGGCAGACTGCAGTGACTGATTGAACACAACCAGCAGACTCCAAGCTGTGGAGGACTACATGAGAGACAGCCTAATTTCAATTTCAAATCAGAAATGGCCTTGATGAGTGATATACTGCAGTATGCCAGTGTCTCTCAAAAAGGATGCTGTCTCTTACAAAGGATTGAATTTTGAAATTATGGTTGAGAACACTATATACATATAAATTTTTTTTCATTGTGTGACCAAGAATTGCAGACAGTATAAAATGTTTGTATCTGTATAAATCCAGCTAGTTCTCTAGAAACGGTTCAGTTGCCTGAGGCTGTCTCATAGACAAGAAGTCTCCTGAAAACAGAACTCATACTAACTATTTCTGGTCAATTACATTGACGACAGTCAGAGGTGGATACAAATGCAGGCGTAGGTTTTTTAGGGGTGCTGAATGATTGTTACAGAAAGACATCTGAGTAAAATACAGTCCCTATAACAAAGGTCTCATTTATGCAATGGGTAGCACGTACTTAATGTTTTTATGAAAATTTTCCAGAGAAAAAATAGAAAATACACTGCAGATATTACTGATATACCCCATATGGGCTATAACAGTATAATTTCAGTAATTACATAGAGTTACTAAAAATTAACTAAAAATTTATGAAAAATCTGGCACGCAATATTGGCTATGCAAAACTATTTGTGAATGTAACCTTAATACTGCATCCATACAAACACTGAGGATAATTATAATAATGTTTACCCCAAAAGTTCACTGATTGAAAAAGCAGCTCATTTAGCATTTCTTAATTGTAGTATTTGAAGCAAGCCTCTAATGTGCTACGTCTCACTGAATTTTAGTTTACACTTTACTATACCACCTACCCCATGAGACATTTCTCCAACTAAACTACATGGCCTGAGGCCAAAAGCCCAGCTAGTTCTTATAGTTCCTTAGGCGCTCTAGGTTCTTCTGCACAAACATTTACCACCAGCTCCACAGAAGAGACACACCCTTCTTTCCTGGGGCAAGTTCCTTGTTCAATCATCAGGTAAAGAAGCAAGAAAAAAAATGCCTCCAGAACACAAGCTATTAATTTTTGGAATAATTTTGCAATGACAGAATAACATTTTGCATATTATAGCCTAAAAATGACAGAAGATTGAGCCCCTGTGCTTTTAATTATTCAGTATTAAAGCAGTAGAATTGAAGGTAAGATGATATGCAGATATATATATATACATACACACACACATATATTTATTTCTAATGCAAAGCACGAAAGTAAGAAATAAATAATAGTACCGAAACTGTAAACTATTCCAACCCATGCAGTTTTACACTCCCTAACACTTCCTAATGGAGATCTGGCCACAGAAATTCCAACATTGTATTCTGTGAAACTCTGTGTTCCTGTGTGATGTCTAAAACCCTAGTTCTGTTGTAGGTTTGTCTTTTCTTTCAGTGGGGGAACCAACTCACACAGAGGATTTAATGGATGAATTTATGGACAATAATGAGAAGCATATATAGAATACAGTGGAATGCTTCCAGCTGGAAGGGATCTACAATGGTTGTTTAGTGCAATTGCTTGACCATTTCAGCGCTGGTCAGAGTGATGGTTGTCACACTGATAGTTAACCACACTAGGCAAATAATTTATGTGCAGTAATTTCTTTATTCAGGAATTACAGAGCTTGCAACAACAAGTGCATATATTTTATGCACTCATACACGGACTCCTATACAGCCCTAAAACTTGACTGGCTGGATAAAGACATTTGAAGAGCCTTGTTCCTTGAAACAGATGATGTCTTTGCAGCTTTGACATAGTTTTTATGAAGAAAATTCCATGATGATCCAGTGATGAAAACCATTTGCCAGCTGCAATTCTTTTCAAATTCCGAAATTTAATACGTTTCAAAAATGCTTGAGTTTGTCAGTGAATTTTAATTCTCTTGTCTCCTTTCCTTCTGTAATATGCGCTGCAATTCTGGGGGTGTTAACTTCTCATGGCTACATAATTAATTTGTCTTATTCATAAACAGTGCATAAACTACATGCACTTGTTTGATTGCTTCCTTATCCTCTGTGTTATGTCTAAAGCAGTGTTCTCAGCACCTAAGATTATAATTCCTCAAGAACCAGAAGCTGACTGCCAGTGAGATAGGTTGGACTCCATGATCTTGAAGGTCTCTTCCAACCTTGTGATTCTTGTGACTCTTGTGAGATGTTTATAGTCTTTTGGCCTCTGTTTTTAACCTCTGCACATATTTTTAAGGTCTCTGGTATAATCCCACACTTAAACTCTACATCATAACAAAAGACGCCTGGTACCCGACTTCAGTTTGCACTGAATAAATTCACTCAAACTAATAACAAACCTAACAGCCCACCAGTTCCTGTGGCCTTGCAATTCTAGCATTAGTTTTCTTACTAGCAATGACAGTATAATTTTTTATTGGGCCATCCAGACAATAGTGACAGGCAGTACATTTCCTTGTGGTGGCACCAAGAACTTGGTTTCTGCAGATTTTCTTTGTTTTAGCCTAACATCTGAATTTTAGTTTGCACACAAGTTCTGACAAGCTAAGAAGACCAGCATGTTTCCCTTTTGCTCTGAACAACTTTCTCATGCAACTTTGAGAGCAAGCCTGTGTACTGTGAATGAGTCCAGATGTGCTAACAGTTCAGTAAATTCCACTAATGGGTTGATTTGTCCTTTCACCACATCTTGTGGAATTTAAGTAACTGTTTAAATGACTTCCACAGGAAGAAGTGAGAGATGGAGATTGCATACAATATTTGGGAGGGGTGGCTGGGATGATGTGAATGTGAAAACTCGTACTGACAAGTGGTGATAAAGGGTTCCAGAGGCAGGAAGGGATTCAGAAGGTAAAAGATATAAGGAGAAACTAGGGAAGAGTGACAGAATGACGTGGTGCTGGCTGATACTGGGCCAGTGGATTTCTGAGAGTGCTATGAAGTCCAAAAATCTGAGGAGCATAAGAAGCTGGACTGAAAGTTGGGCAACAGGGGAACTTGAAGGATACTGGTTTCATGAGAAATGCTGCTGGAAAAAGCTGAGGGGACTGAGTCAGGAAACTCAAAGAGCCTTTCCCTAGTGTTCTGAGTAATGTGAGACAAATGGGGTTATAAATAAGAGATGTGCATGAGAATGTGATAAATGTGATTCGTGCTAATTAAATTGTAACTATATTAACAAAATTGTATTTAGATCAATAGAAGACAATTGTTACAGAGTGAGGGGGGAGATGGGTGAGACAGGGCAAAGGACATCTTCCAGATGTTGGGAGTCGAAAAAGGAGGTTGGAAGAAAGTCAAACAAGAATAGTAGAAGGACGTAGATCTGACAAGCAGCATCTAGAAATAGAAAGTTTCAACCTTGAAATGGGCCAAAATGGGATGATTCCAGGCATGGGACTCAATTAAAGTCATGTAATGGAAAACATCTGCTCAGTCACACAGAGCGCCTGCGCTACCTGCGGGTCACACCTCGGTCACTGAGGAAGATGATGAGCCTTCATCGGAAATAAGACCCTCAAAAGGATGAGAGACCCCCAAACCCATTAATAGAGCATGGGCCATACAACATAGTGACGCACATTTTAGGAATAGAAACTAGGAGTAGTTTTCTAGAAACTTCTGTAGCCTACAGTATATAAGTGGGATTGTTAGCCTGGATGCTTTGGTACGTGAGGAATGGGAGCCACTCCCCGTATCCCCGGTCGGAGGGGGGCCCCTCCCCGGTCGGTTTTGCTTATGCTTTATACGAACCTCAATTATACTGAATTATTTACTGCCAAAATTTTGTATATTCTTAAATATATGCACTTTGATTGTATTCATCTCCAATACTTTGTCATCTCCAATACTTTGATGGTATTCATTTTGTCACTATTAAAAATCTACTATTAAATTTAATCTTGTTGCTTGATAAATTGGAAAAATAGAACATCATTCATAACAAGAAGAAGGCAGATTATGTTAAACATCATCTTTATTCCTCTAAAAAAATCACAATTGAAGGACTATGATCCATTCAAAATTGGTAAAGAATTAGAATTTAGCTAGAGGCCTACCATCA